GTAATTATAGCTAATTCGCGTGACGCAAACTTGATGTACTTACCTACAGCGTGCGGAAGCAGGTAGATATTATTTATCTGTAAAATGATTGGAGACATCTGACCGTAGAATTACGAATAGAATCATGATACTAAAATTTTCCAGACAATTATCTAAGTTAAAATTTAGTTAACTGCTTCTCGTCTCAATGCAATATGACCTAAAACATATTGGTAGTCGTCATGTTAACCCCTCCAACCGAAAGTTTTTGTTAAGTGATATTTGCTTTAATTGTTATGGTGTAGCCGTTTTTTTTATGGAATAATTGGCAAAGCGGACAGATGGGCCACCATAGGTGAAAGATACTACCGTCTGAACCTCTGCAACTTAAGATACACAAGTGCGTTGCCGTTCTGTTAGTGCTGTTATTAGAGAGGGGGGAGGTCTGGTTATCCACCGGTAATCTCACTCGTTCGGTGAAAAGCAACTATAGAATAACTTAATAGCGGTTTCCTCTGAGGTTTTGGTAGGTATACCTTGTGGACATATAGGCCGGCCCAAATGTGCAGAAGGAAGGCTCTCTCATGAATACAAATTGTTCAAGATTGATATAAACAGATAAACTTTGTTAAGATTTATGTTCTATTAGCGATGAAATGTAAGGAAGAGCCATTCTTCGGCCTATTTGGGCCAAGCTTGACCGGAGTGATACCGAACTCCCGGCAACCGGTGTTAAGCAGTTCTTTCGTTACTTTTCACAGAGTGAGTGAGGTTACCGGAGCCTTGTTCTTCTCCCTCCCCCTGATTCTGGGGTCTAGGGACTGCAAAGGCGGCAATACACTTGTGACTCTTGAGTTGCAGCTGTCCATCAGCGGTGGTAATCACTTACCATCAGGTGACCCGCCTGCTCGTTTGCCCCCAATGCCATAAAAAAGAAAAATAAAGAGCTCCGGTTCGGCTAATGTACAATAAAGATTATCTACCCGTGGTACCTTGTTGGCGGCTATTTGCTACTAAGTTCAGGAATGTACCTACTCACCTATTATTTCATCACCAGCCTTTAAAAGAAAGGAGGTTTTGACCTACTACACCACCTGGCCAGACGGGTTGGTATAGGGTTTGTGTCAAGATTTTCTTCTTTTTGCAGTGCTGTTGTCCTGCGTAGTTTGCTCCCTTAGTCCAATTTTATAACAATCACTAGCTGAATAGGGATGGTGACATTCCGTATTCGTAATCCGTCGCAACACGGATAATTCAAATAAATCAAATTATTTAAGCTTAGTTTAGTTATTAGGTTGTCTTTCCGTCAATTTGAAGATCCACCTGCAGGTTAATTTTAGAAGAACCCATTTAACCAATGTTGTATTTTATTTTGACTATATTCGTAAAATCATGAAAGTTTCATTTAGAATGGTACTATATAAGTGTTGCTATAGCTTGTTTACTAGCACAGTGGTACAAAAAATATCACTGCTTTATCTAGCTTATTTGTTTATAATAGCTATTATAAAAACACTAGACACAACAGATTACTAATACATTTCATTTGATTACAACGGGTTACTTTTTTTATTGAATCCTTTAATTACTTATTGGAATGCGTGTATTATTTTCTGCTCAATAAACAAGAATATAATTATACTATCGCACTGACCCTCTGGTAAGTAACATTTCCAACTAGACATATTTAGATTAATTTCAAAAAACTAACTTACTGATATGTATTTACCTTATGGTAGAATTAAGTGAAAACTCATGGCGACTATGGTGGCTGGTAGTACACTATCTCGCTGAATAAAAATCTCATTGAAATAACTGATAAATCTAACCGTGTAAAAGTATGTTATTTCTATCAACATCAACTATGTAAGTATATATTTAGTGGAAATAGTGTGTTACATTTCAATAAACGTTTCATGCAGTCCGTAGGTTTCGAATGATAAACCTATGGACATCCCAGTTTGGTCTTGGTAATTTTAAATATACTTATGTACCTACATATTTTTAAGAAGGGAATCCAACAAGTAAAATTAAGTTTCTTATCCTAAACTAAACATAATAAGATATAATAGGCGTTAATCTGATTTAACTTTAATTTCTTTAAAGTTAGTCTTAAGTCAAACGTTATTTACATATTTGAGGTGAAAATGTAAAGATCTAAAGTAGGTATAGAAGAGAATAGGTAGAATTGATAGTCTAATATTAAAGTAGACAGTATTCTGACTTTATCACAAAAATTGTTAAACATAAGATTTTATCTACCACTTATTATAAGAGCTGCCAGAAACGTCAAACAAGTAGGTAATCAAATAGCGCTTAGTCATTCGTTGAGTTGTTTGACATTTCACGTAGGTACCGCTGCGTCACCAAAATTGCACACATTGGGATGAGAAATCAGACTTGAAATTGCTCTAAACACTCATATTCTTGATGTTAGATAAATGACTTCCTGCTGCTGCCACAATGGAAGCATCATTATTCCACAGGCCCCATGAATAGGCCGCGCTGCCGTGGGAGTCTCTCACGACTTTATTGCGGATACATATTTTTTGTTTGTTCTAATTAACAGTTTTTCTAATAGTATGCTTTTACTTTAATTGTTCTTGTTCATTCAAGACCGTGTTTTAAGTAATTTTCGGCGAATTTATGCTGTCTAATGATAGAGCATTGACGTCGTAAGCATCTTGAAACACGGCTACCGTTATTATTGCGAGTTCTGCTATATTTAGTATAATTATCAAAATTGCACATGATTATTGGTCATAAAAGTTTTTCATATTCTGTAAACATGTTTGTAATAATAACTTTAACGTTTTTAGAACAATGACAGCACCAACCAGTCGCTAGTTGCGTTGTGTAAACAAAGCTAACAAAAATCTAAATTAAATGTTATTGTCAAAACTTCATGAAAACATATAGCTTCCATTATTGAGGTAATATCTTAGGATCTTGTATTAATACTTTGTAGGGACACAAACTTTGATGAGACGTAAATCTTTATTCCAATGTTTTAGGATTTTAACCAGTTTATAAATCGCAAATTCATCAATTGTCTCGATGTTAGTTTAGTGGCATCAAAAGAAAATAAACTTTTCTTAGTGTTTTCGCGTGGCCTATTAATATATTTCGAAATCATATCTATTCACCGAGATAGTATTCCATTTTCTCGACTTCCACATACACGAAAAATACGAATTATCTAGTAATCCTGCAGCGTACAATGAAAGTTCTCGCGCCTATTATAGTGGGTAAGTATACAGATTTCCAACATCAACAGTTGGGTTGCGGCCCGCCAGGCAGAACAACGCGGCCTAGTGGGAAGATCATCTGTTTGTGTTGTAGGGGTATAACACACGCTCCTCCACGCCGTCTTAATGTCTACGGAACATGAGCATATCGTTTTGACCGTCCGTCATTTAAAGAAAACCAATAAGTGAACGTGGGTTTCTTCTAGAGCTCCATACTCATGGCAATCCATAAGTGCATACCGCTTCTTGGTAACTGGCCAAAAACAATTAAAATATTAATGACTTACATTTAAAAAATAAAACACAAAATTTCATTGTGACTCATGTTTACAACCACGCACAAATGCAACTTTTAACTTTAAAGCGAAATTAATAAAACAATTATAATGTAATTGTCACCGAACTCATGGCATTGCTGACAATCACTACTTACAATACTCCTTTACCTAAAATAAATACAATTGTGTTAACTATGTATTGTATTTCATATATAAATCATATTTAAAATATACATCTTGTAATGGATGGTTACTTTTTTAACTCATTAGATTTAACTGGAATCCAGTTGATTGGGTTTAAAATAAATAGAACTGATACAAAATATACTTTTTAAAGTAAATATAAAATCTCGCTGCCTTTTAATATTTTCTTTAATGGCAAATATATGTCGGACGCACTTACAGGCTTTCAGTCGATAAGAATCTTTCATATTCATTTTTTCAATTACAAAAATAGTAGCCAAGTTTAGAATCAACAAAAACTTCTAGGTATTTTTTTTTATTTTAAATTAAGTATAGCTGCACTAATAACTATTAGTAATAGATGCTTATGAAGGGCACTTATGGTAATATTATATAAAGCCATATCATTGTATAACATGCTATTACATTGCACACCTAACAATAATAATAGATAACAAATATTTTTCACACATCATGCTTAAGTATGTATATCAAAGTAAATATATATATAGAAAATATATTGATTAAGATTGAAATATGATTTTAATAAATATATCTTACACCTATGTTACCTGATAGTATCTAAGAAATACGTATTAGTTAGCTTTTTTACTTTCACTTAACAGCACAGTCGGAATGAAAAATACATTGACCGTTGTACTTAATAACTAGCCATAATAGAGGATTTGGAATAGCAAGTAACTTCTTTAATTATATTAAAAAACGATTGGTAAAAATAATTTTAAGGACGGATGTTGTAATCAGATGATATATTTTTATACTATGATCGCTAAACCGCGTGGGATGTTGCATGCGCGTACACACCGTTGACATGCATTGTTGTTTCTAGCGCTGCGGCAATAATGAGCCAGGAAACCCTATAATGCAGCCATAAACTATATTTGTATTGTGCAGTAAATTTCACTTTAAACATTATACAACACTTGTGATGTATTAATACGCAATTTGTTATATTTCTAAGCTTTATGTTTAAAAAAAATACCTCTAGGAAGCGTGGACATTAAAAAAATAATAATTTCGCATTTGCGTACTAATTGGAAAATGAAACCCTACATACATTTTATCATATCTGGGTTTATAATAGAAACTTTAAAAGTTCCTTTATAACTAATATAAATATGTTTGTAATTAGTCATGTCTCGCGTTATACAAAAATGTAGTTAACGAGCTAATGCCTTAAGTAACAAACATGTTTTTACACATCTTAGAAACAAGTTTGTATAATTTACATAAAATTTGATTCCATTGTATTCTTTAAACTTTAATATATATTTGACTAAGTTATCTAAGGTCATTTGACGCGTACAGAACGTTGTTTATTCATATTAGTGAGCATGAGCGAGATGTATGACGTCAGCAGATCGTCCATCTTGTACCCCAAGGAGGTTTCACAAAGGAGTTTGGAACCTCGTACCAAGTTACCAATTGTCATGTGGAAATATGTGTTACCGGATGACCAGTTTGATATTCTTGTAAATGGGTGTGTTACTAGGATATCCTGAAATAAACAGAAATGAATATTTTTAGTAACTGTATTTTGTGTAATCGGGTCTTAAGACAGAGCCAATTAGGTATACCGACCCCGACCAATTATGACTATTTAAGTCGGATTCAAGTGTCAAATTCTCTTGTCTTACGAGTATTTAATTTTACAGGGCTACATTTTACTTTTTAGGAGTAATAGATCTTCTGCATAAATGAATGAAATGCATGAATGAAAGGCAGAAGTGATCCATACAAAGTTGTACTAAGGTCAAATTATACTTCGTATCCATTAAATATACATTTGTGAAGTCGTTTACATGGGGTAATTTAGTATTTATTTATTCTTAAATGATTTACGTCTGTCAAACTATTTTGAATTTGATTTGATGGTTTAGAAAATCAAATAACTAGTTTTTGTTTGTTAGTTCATAAGGAATGGCTGAATCGCCTAAGATAACTTTAAGACTTTTTGAGAAAATGAAGGTAATACAGGTAACATTGCGATGATAATTATCTTACCTTTGACTGTGGGTGTATCAAACTAACTCCATGCTTGTTTATAGCAATCAACAAAAGCTCAGGATAATTTGGTTCCGTGGTCTGCTTGACTTCGAAGAAGGCAGAGCCAAATGTAGGCCACCGGTAAATGACCTTTAGGAAGGTGATTTTGGCATCTTCAGGGGTCATGCCTGCATCTTGATTGTATGAAGCTACTATAGCTCGCTTCCAATCAGCTGAGCTTTGGAGTTTGATGAGGTCGGCTGGTATTAGCTCTCGCAGCATTTGACTAAAATTTAATTAGAAAATAAACTACTATACAAATACGTATTATTGGGAATCTACAAAATTATTATCAATGATTATGTTCATGGCCGCGACCGTTAATATTTACGGACGAAATTATGCTTTTAATACGTAAAAGACATGTAATATGACCAAGAGCTCTCACCTATATCAAAAGTAATAGTAATAGTAACAGCAACAGTGTAATATACAATAATGTGTATGTCAGCTACAACATTTTGTAATTGTTTGTGTTTTAAATGTAGCTATCGTAATAATCAAGAAGAAGAAGCTTTTTAACAGTTTTTTTAATGATATTGCTCATCACATTATTTATCCTGAGTAGGACTCGAGGCCTCTACCTGTGGCTCGTGGCTAGCATACTGTTTAAAGTAACACTTACGGTATAGCCTGCAATTCTTGTTTGTTGTCCCCAAATCTTGCTCGATAGGCCAGTGCCGCTAATCTAGCCCCCTCCTCACGCCCACACCGGTGGTACCCGCGGAGGAGTTTAGGTAACTCTTGATGGAAGTGGAAGATGACGTCTGCTGCGCGGTCTTTACCAGGGACTGTGTTCGTCCAGAGCTTCTTCATGAAAAACACCTGTTAGAAAGAAAGATTACTTGCAAAACCATGTGACAATGTATGGAACGTAATATTTTTACGGAATGGTGAATGCCAAAGAAGGTTGACTGCGCGGCGACATCAAGATAAATTACAACTACACCAACCCCAAAGCTACACCAACTATAAAGATTAAGATACATTTTTAGTAACCTTTGTTGTAACAAATTTCGCAAGGTTGTTTTGTTTGATCGAACTGATTATTGAATTTGTAAAATATGAGTTAAATAATTAATTTAAATTAAATTTACACAAAGCAGGACATGAAATCGTTGTCAAATATCTTAAGGATTTCTTACTTACGGAGCTAAAAAGCGGTGAGCAATTAGCAAGTCAACTTCAGAATACCTATGATTTTGAATTCATTCCAGACTAAATTAAACATAACGTTCGACTATTCGAGGAATACTTTAGGTACCTATTACGTAATTGGGTTTTAACGGTTAAAGCATTTATGTAGCCTTAATTTAAAAATCGAACCTGGTAGGTAAATTGTGGTGTGATTCCATCTCGAGTTGGCCGTGCTTTCTTGATCCAATCCGTAAGGTGCCGCACAAAATCGAAGAAGAAATCGCCCTCAGGAACAGATATAACCTTATCAGCTATCTTAACGAATAAACTAAAACCTTCACTAGATCTGAGATTCAGTCTCTGAGCGATATTCTGACAGAAGTCCTTGGCACGGGTAGATGAGTCCACTTCAAAAGCTTCGTCGGTATCATCAGGGAAATATACTTTATGAAATATTTGCGTGGTCTTATGCTGAATAGCTTCAACCTCCACTTGATGCGGAGGATATTTTCTCTGGCCATTTCGTAAGGTTTTTTGTAGTCTCTGTAAGGAATCCTGTGCTATTGGATATCTCCTAGTCCTTAGGAATAATGTTAATTCTCTTAGTAGTCCTTGACTACATGTGAACAGACCTGAAGCTAACCACATTAACTCCCATCCCCTTTCCTCTGACATTCTATTTCTATTGTCAGTTAGTTGCTTCATTATTTGACAATAAATCTCGTCTCGTAATATCTCATGTTTTAATGGCCCATCGAAAATGTGATCTGTGTACTCATTGCCGATACGTGGTCGTTTTGATGGGAGATCTCCCATGTACTTGAGCATAGCAGTAAAAGCAAAACAGGCCTCTTCGGCCAATTCTTCTTTAGCTTGTAGTTTCTTCAGAAGCGGTTGTTTTATTGGCTCTCTAGAATGTCGCCAAAGTTCTTCCGTGCCTCCTCTTTTAGCTGTCGATAACGTTAATGCTTTAGACACAGTTCGTTTTGGGGGTAGTCGGAAATGATCCATAGCATATTCTAATAAAGTATGAGGCTTATCTCGGGTCTCTGTGCCATTGTAAGTTGCAGTTGGAGGGCGACGGCCGTGCTGTGCTCCTTCTTGACAGAAAAGAGTTAATATATCCGGTGGTGGTTTAGTAAGTGCAGGTAATACGTACACCGTTTCCGAAGGGAAGTCACCTCTTTCCATGGTTCTTTCACAGCGCCCGATACACCAACCATTATTCAACACAGATTCTCCAGTGCTATCTTCTTCTAAAATTATCAGGTCGCCTTTCAGGAATGTTAAGAAACTGGATCCCTCTCCAGGAGCTTTATAATCTTGAAGTGCAATTACATGTTTGGACCTCTTTTTTAGTCCTTCTAAGAAGTACACTACAAGATCTCGAATGTCCTCAGCGTTGGGGCTTTGGAATGTAAATTCTTCTCCCCTTACTGTTGCGAGACTGAAAGTTTGTGTAAATACTTTATTCGTTTTCTGACTGGAAACTGTTGTAATTTCTGGGAATGATAGTTCCAGGAGAACTTGCTCTTGATCATCAACGACGTACACACCAGTCCAATTGACAGCTATAATAACATCATTCTTAGGTAAATTTGGACCAGAATTTCTATAGGCTTCGTAGAATCTTGAGAATAATAACGGCCACTTGAATTTTGCATAACTAACTACGTCCTCTTTTACTCTATAAGCGGGCACTTTTTCTTTTACATAATAACTCTTTTTATATGCTTGCACTACCAATGCACCCCAACGATCAACTGCTTTTTCAACGCCAGTTAAACAGTAGTCTGGTATATAATTTGGCAGCAAAGTATAAAGTCTTTCCGAATTCATGTCTTGACTGTATTCAATATAATACTGTTGAGCGGCTATCATAGCTAAGTCTTCTTCTTTGTCACATCTATACTCACCAAATTTCACACCTCTTACTACTTGTTGATAAATAAGATTTGTGGCAACTTGATCTTCAGTGGGATCATGCCATGGAGCAAATATTTCTTTTCTGAAGAACAATCTCCATGGAGCATTTCTTTCTTGGGCACCTTGTTCTTTAGCGTACTGTTCGCACTGCGATATTGCATCCATTACGTGATCTCCACCACTACCAAGGGAGCTAACCTTATCAAATAACGCAATGTATAGTGAGAAACCAAACTGATCTTTCAAACCAATTTTGTCAGATAACTGATTACAGAGTTCTCTTGCTGTTGTCGCTGAATCCGCTAACAAAGTTTTTGTATTACCATCCATAAATGTTATTGGTAACATGATTGGCTTTTTTGACTTCGTTGCTTGCAGCTCTAGCCATGATGGTGGTTGATTTCTGGTACCATTATTAAATGTTCGTTTCAAGCGATCTTCGCAATAGGGTGCGTAACCAGGTGGTCCTTCCCTTATGAAGGCGCGTAGGTAGTTAACAAACTTTTCACTAGGAGCGAAGCATCCCACACACAGTGAGAGCAAAATCCATCCTCTAGCATGAGAGGATTTCGAAGGATTATTGCTCAGTTGTTTGCATATCTGACAGTAGATTTCATCTCTAAGCTCAGCCCGCAAAATTCCGTGGCCAATAATAAAATGTAACTTTTCTAAGTTTGATGTTGGGCGTGATTCTAGCCATGACTGGTAACTATCTGCTGTATATTCTTCGTCCTGAAAAATATTCGAGAATGTCATTAAGAAATGCCTCTACAAAGCAGTTTGTCATAATAATTTAAAGTGGGTTACAAACCTGTAATTTTCTTCTAACATCTTCACCAAGCTTGTTCTTTCTCTTTAATGTCAGAGAAACCAGCTTGTGCCTAATGGACCTAGGTTTCTGTTTGTTAAGATACGCATCAGGATCTACTCCCATCATTTGAGCTTCCTGGAATTCTTTTGATCTGATAAAGTTTCTGCCAAGAGTTGCGGTTACTTTAGACATAACAGATGTGTTGTCTCTATCCATGGTGTGATACCTTGGTTCCGGCAGATCTCCAGTGAACCGTAATATTGTGATCCATAGTGCTTGGGCAGCCTGTAATGTACATATTTTGATTACTTTAGACAAAATGTAATCGACGGCCATAATTAGGGACATTAAACGTGTAAAGGCTGATCAAGCCTTTCCTGGAATGTTTCTATAATGAAGGTCTTCACGTAAAACTTAATTGGTTGACTTGAGTGGTTTTCATTCATTTCTTTAATACAAAGTTATTTGGAAAAGTAATTAACAGGATTAACTATTTTTCCACAAAATTTTGTATTAAACATAATACATTAGTAATCTAATTTTTTAAATTCAAAGCTCTTTTCACATCTTATCGTGATATACCTACTCGTATATGCATCTGAGATAATAGCACATAAATAATGTTAATTAACATATTATCTGTCTGTCTATCTACTCTTTGTCACCATTTAAAATACCGCTAATCGTTATTAAACACTGTGTAAAATATTGTCACTGAATAGACATCCAAAACTTTGTAAGAATGAGGCACAATTAGCAAACAACTACAGTAGAACTACTTCATAATTAATAATAATTGTAGAGAAAATTACGACCAATCCAGGATGGCTTTCCAGGATGCTGAATTGGTCGTATAAAGAGTTGCCAGCAAGGTATTTAAACTTTGCTCACTGAACCAATAAATAGTCGGGCGTAGTCGGTACGGAGTTATACAAATTAACAATTTGATGACAATTTAAGTTGTTTTACATAAATTACTGAGACCGTCTTTTTACAGATGGCCGTAGTCTTTTATGATACCAGGATTCAAGATTTTAGCCACATAAACTAGCTTCACCGCCTATGGTGTGGGTATTATACTCACTAACTGATCTCCTTGCGTATGTAGAGGTAGTAGCGGATGCTTGAGTGGTTTCCTGGAATACTGATGTGTGACATTGCCTTGGAAGTATGTGGCTGCAAACTTTTGAAATTTAAACTCCGACAAATCCTCTTCATCTTCTGAGGTTGTTTGCATCGGTGTCACCATCTAAACGAAACATAGATTTGTCATATAAAATTACACGATAAAATTATCGTGGTCGTAATTTCAATCTAGAACATTCTTACAAATTAAAATACCCACATGAATATTGAATTGATTGATTCGAAAATAAGACCAAGATACATATTTCTTTCCGCGATGTAATCTAACACCCATCAGAGATTGCACATCGCTACGATGACGTATTCTGATTCGCATATTTATTGTTTTACGATATGCACGATAACACTACAGTAACAGTGACTGCTAAACCCACGACTGACTACATAATACACGCTTAGTTTACTTTTGCTACACTTGTCGACAAATACTAAACATAAACAGTATTGATACAAATATGACTACTAAGTACTCGTATCTTTGGGAAGGTAAACAATGAATCTAAACACGGTACCACTATTTAAAACATTTAGTTTTAAAATATAACAGCCTTATTCTTTATAACATGAAATAACTTCAATATCGAGTCCCCTGAAGGCTCCGACGTTTTATTGAACAGACTTTATATATAAGATAGGATCAAGTATTACTATTTTGTGAGGCAACTGCGTTACCAACCAACTTGAAATATACTAATATTTAGAGATACTATTTCCCAACAGAAAGAGTTGACATTATAATGATGTTTACCTCTTGTTGATCAGCTCTCTGTTGCGGGAGGTCGCTGAAGACAGACGTGTCTTTAGGCGCAGGGGCCTCACTGCTCGAGTCCGGTAAGAAGTCGAACATGGCTTCAACTAATTTGCTGTCATCTACAGGCTCGTCTTGCTTACGTGCCGCCTCTTGAAGAAGGGTGCGCTTGGCTTCTAATTGGCGTTTCTCTTCTAATGCCAGTTCTGCATCTCGACGTTCCAGTTCATACATGCGCTCCTGGTATAAAAAGGTTTAAAAAATTTAACATATTGGGAAATAAATTTTTATTGCTTTTATAATGCTAAATATAAAATGTGCATATAATTAGAATCATCTGTAATTCTTCTAATATACAAGAAGTGTAATTTATAATGGGGACACAACAACAACAAATCGATTTTATTTTAAATTTAAATACATACAATTTAATTGATTAAGTATCAAGATTGGGTGCAAACATGCTTGGTACAAATAATTATCGTCATTGCCAAACCTTAGTTAAATAAAAATATGCCAGAATTTACATAAAACACAGGCTTTTTGCGTTGCTTTAGTTGTGTTGCTGTTTTTTAACATAGTTGTGACTTCAAACAAATAAAAAAAAAAAAAATTTGTTTGAAGTCACAACATAGGAAGTTCTCAATTCGGTCACAAATAAAAAAGATTTTACCAAGTCGATTCATAAATGTCAGAGTTGAGGTAACAAACATAAAAAAAAACTTTTTAAAGTCAGTTAAAGATATGTAATTAACCGAGAGCAATTTTCTTGATATGAAACTACAAAAATATCTTATACTCAAATTCTTGAAGTTTACTAAAGATCGTCAATCGTGTCATAATTTCGGACAAAACACCTGAATTCAGATTGTTGGAATTCGATACCTACATCTATTTCCTACTCATTACACATTACCTTTGATAAAACTATATATCCATATCCTTAATTATTATTATCTCCTTACATATAAAATGGTATTAAGTCCGCATTGTACAATGTATTGTTGTTTGTGCAAAAAGAATAAAATAAAAGAAAAAATAATAAAAAGTACTATACGTAAGTATATCTTATATATAAAATTCTCGTGTCACAATGTTCGTTCCCGTACTCCTCCGAAACGGCTTGACCGATTCTCATGAAATTTTGTGTGCACATCGGGTAGGTCTGAGAATCGGCCAACATCTATTTTTCATACCCCTAAATGGTAAGTGTGACCCATCCCTAAATTTTTTTTTAGGCAAAGCAACGTTTGCCGGGTCAGCTAGTATAATATACTATTCTATTGATATGTTATATATATATATTCGTGATAATAGAATAGATAGATTCTATTCTAATATTACTGCCGTAATTTCAAAAAGTATGATGACGTATCCGTAATAGACAATGAAATTATAAACAAACAAAAGGTAGATGAGCTACCAACGCACAAAACGCGAGGGTCCTAATTAGGACCACTATGAGTGAGCGCACGTATTAATTAATTCGAGAAAATTTATAAAATGCCTTTGCATATTCCGAAAGTACAAAAATACAACAAAAAGGTAAATAAATGTAAAGGAATATTGTACCACAGGTAAGTGTACGATTTCTTGTAAAATGCGTTAATAGATGTGCGGTTACGGAACAAATATTTTGTGCGTGGAGTATGAATATAACGTAGCTGTCTTAAAATATCATTGGTTATTACCAATGATATTTTAAGACAGCTAATTACAACTAAGATAAGCTACACTAAGCTTACAACTAAGATATTTTAAGGCTATTGCCTTAAAACTGACGTTCTAACAAGCGTTAATACTAAATATTTAAAATTCAATTTGTATACATTTTTATTTATAAATTAAAAACTCACTTTAAAACTACTTTTGTATACTAGATTAATATGACGTAAATCCAACACGAAGTTTTGAAAGACACACTCGATCCAGAAGTTCATATTAATACAATACAAGACCGCACGTCTGCTACCGACGAGGTTCGGTCCGTATTACAGGTGCATTACACAGGCCGATTATTCAAGCACGACCGGATTGTAGATACTACGGTCTATTGTGTAATATGGGCACGCTCTGTTGGACAATATATCGTTTTTCAATTACACAAAAGTATCACTAATATAACACCTGTAAAGTGATTATTAATGATCTGCACATAAATAATGTAAAAATGTAATGTGCTAATAAAGTGTTACGGTTGCTTTTATGGAGAATATGTACAAAGTGGTACCATTGCCTTTGCGTGTAAAAATAGTTAATTGTCTCAAAACGGCTTAATATAGTTTACGCTATAGACAAATAAGGTAGAATTCTGGCTTGTAAGACCTTTACAAGTAATATGAAATTGGCAAAAAACTATAACATTTACAATTTACAATATTTGAATTCTATTTAACAATGATCAAGCAACAAGTTGTTGCGATGATTTCGATTCATCTGTAATCGAGTCAAATCAACTTTCGATTGATACATTTTACTGAATCAAGATATTGAGATATTTGTTTTACATTATAAATCGTTTCATAGTGTACTCTAATCCTGTGACCGATCGTAATGACCATCGATGCAATTTCGTCGAAACGGCCGGTAGCGAAAATAGTATCATTTAACACACACACACACACATTTAACAGTGTAAGTAGTCGCGGAAAAGGATCATCTCTATGCCTACTCTAACGAAATTCGGGTATGCGTTTCTTCTTTCGAGCAATATTAGAATTAAAAATAATTTACTTTTTCTTCTGTTCTTACTTTCTCGGTTTGCCGTTCTTAAAAGCAGTGCTCATAGAATAAAAATGGAACCTTATATGTTACATCCTAATTACGTTCTAAGTAGTAAGGAATCATATCGTCGATACTATCGATTGATTCTCGATGCTAGAACAGATAACAGGATTAAGTACAGTTATAAAATATTGGTAAACAAAATATGTCTTTTATGGATAGAAAGATTTTGTTTTAGTCCGGTATGAAAAGGTATAACTAGTAAGGGCGATCAATAATATCACGTGGAAATTTAGTTTCATAATATATTTTTTATGGCATAGGAGGGCAAACGAGCAGACGGGTCACATGTGGGCCTTGTGTAAGTTCGTTTAGCGGTGACCGCGTTTAGCGTTGCGAATAGTGGAGATTTCCGTGCGGACCAATGGCATCGCCAAACACGGTCACCGTGACGATCGAGTAGATGTGAAATAAATTCGCTCTTGGGCCTCTGATGGTAAGTAACTACCGCCGCCCGCGCAACTCACGAGCCACAAATGCGTTGCCACCTTTTGAATCCTCGAATCAGAATTCAGGGTGAGGAGAGGTTTGGGCTCCGGTAACCTTACAAACTCGGTGAAGGCAGTTGCATCACTCTGGCCGAGCCAGACCATTTGCTCTCCCATGGTTAAATATGATGTATAATAATAATATGGGCTATATAACAAAAATCAATGATAGTATGCTTATCCTCAACGCGTTTCTAAACTACTGATTAAATTATAATGAAACTTTGGAACTTTGGTAAGGTCTCCTGAGAGAACCCGCAAGAGTTTATTTTACAAGCTTTTTATTAACTTGCAATGTATGTAACTATGTTTGTTCGCGTGGAATCTTGCAACTCAATTTTTAAGCAGATATCCTCAACCGATTGATTTGAAATTTTGCATACACGTTTAGTTTGGATGACAATGCATGATTAGCTGTATAACTTCATTCTAAATCCAACATGGCGGAACACCCAAGATGGCGGACTAGTTATTTTTAAAGCACTCCTACAATGTGGGTATCAAATGAAATGCATTGCTGAGAAAACTCAAAAAAAGCTTGTTTTTAAAAAGGTTTGTTTACTTTCAATTTTTTATATTTAGAATTAGACTTTGATAACATAAAATAAAAATAGTGATGTTTTTTTTATTTATTAATGAAAAAGTAGGTAGGTATATCAAACATTTTTTCCTTGTGATGAAACTTGTGTCAGATGCCTGCTAGGTAAAGGTTATTTCAAATACATGTTAAGGACTTTATCTGTGGATTGATAACGGTTAAAAATCATTACCATCAAGATAATTAAATACTAGTTTAATTAATTGGCCAGTCTAAATCAAACTAAAAAATATCGTACTTTAGGACTTTAGAACAAGGCCTGTCTTTAATAAGGTATAAAATCTATGTTGAACCAAAAATATCAGGAATTCAATATCGGCGTCGTATCCACTCCTTTTCATCCCATGGGTATCGTAATAGACGACCAAGGGGGCAAGCTACGCGGGTCAAAAGTACTGCATAAAAAAGTAAACTTGAAACAAACCCTTTTTTTTTTTTTTTTAACGTGTGGAAATCCCCTCGGACCGTCACCCCTCCGGGGTTTGCGGCGGGGTGGTGTGTCGGACTCGGACCGACTAAAACCACACGGTGTGCCACTCTGCGCCTGTAACAGGAGGGATCCGGGAACAGCTGTTGTTAAGACATCCGGACCCCTCCTAGCGCCAGCCCGCTCCTGGTGCGGGCTCCGTCTCCATGCCCATGAAATAACAGGGCCTCCGTCTTATCCAGGGCCACCCGTAAGCCCAGCGCCTCAATGCGCCCGACCACCAGGGAGACTCCCCCTGTGGCCAGGCGCGCCGCCTCTTGGAAGTTTGCCCCCCGGGCTGTCACGAGGGTATCGTCTGCGTAACAGATTACACCCAGCCCGGGGGGGAAATCGGCGCGAAGGGCCCAGTCGTACCCTATGTTCCACAAGAGGGGTCCAAGAACAGACACCTGTGGAACACCGCACGACATGGGCCGACACCTCAGATTACCTTCTCGGTCCTCGTACACGACGGTACGCTCCTCTAAATAGTCTGCCACTAGCCGCCTCAGGTACTTTGGCACCCCATGGTAGTGGAGTGCTTCCCTGATGCAGCTGAATGGCAGACTATTGAATGCGTTGGCGATGTCCAATGACACCGCCAACAGCACGCCGCCACAGCTCACGGCCTCTTCGGTCACGGCCCTCAGGCGCAACACGGCGTCGACTGTCGAACGCCCCGCCCGAAAACCAAATTGGGCGTCCGACAGATCGGGGCCCACCTCGCAGAGGTGCCGGACGATGCGGGCAGAAAGAACCCTCTCAAACAATTTGCCCGCCTCGTCCAGCAGCACGATGGGCCTATAGGCCGCGACCGAATCGGCAGGCCGTCCCGGCTTCCTCAATAGGACCAGCTTCCCGCTCTTCCAGCACTCAGGGAAGCGTCCCGACGCCAAGCTAGCGTCGAACACCTCCCCGAGGCGGTCTGCCATGTGGTTGAGGGCCAGGGCCAGCACTCGGGCCGGTACCCCGTCTGGCCCAGGGGCGGTGTTCTTGGAACGGATCCGTAGAACAGCCGCCCCTACCTCCGATTCCCGGACGGGCGGAACATTATCCTCCCCGTGCTCCCCGTCGTCTCCGGCCAAGGAGGCCATCGCAGGGGGAGTGTGTTCCGCTCGTTGTGGGAAAAGGCCCTCAACCACTTCTCGCAGGAAGCTGGGCTGGAGAGTCTCCGTAAGGGGGGGGCCCGACGCGCGGAGCTTTTGTCGCACCGCGCGGTAAGGGCGACCCCAGGGGTCACGATTAAGACCCTCCAGCATCTCCTGTCTCTTTTCTTCTTTGGCGCGGCTAATGGCCAGCTTCAGAGTTTTCCGCGCCCGTCGGTACTCCTCATGAAGCCGGTCCTCCTCACCGTCTCCACGGTGACGCCGCCGACTGCGCGTGTAGGACCTCCGGGCACGTGTACAGGCCGCACGGAGGTCCGCCAGCTCCTGGGACCACCAGTAGACCTCCTTCCTTGGAGGCCGACGACCTCGAATGCGGGGCATGGCCGCATCGCAGATATGCGTAATCGCATCGCGAAAGCGGCCAGCGCCCACGTCGACCTCCTCGGTCGGAGCCTGAGGAGACAGCCACGAGTGAATTATGGCTGCCTCCTCTAGTATAGTATAGTATAGTATAGGTCCCGGTTCAGTCTGGCAACAGCCCACCGCGGAAAGCGGGATAAACGCCGCGCCACGTGACCCCTACTGGAGTCCTGGGTCCGGGAGAGCTCAAATCGGATATACAGGTGATCCGAGAGCGTCTCAACCTCTTCCAGGACACGCCAGTTCCTTACTCGTGCGGCGAGGGCAGGGGTAGCGAACGAAAGGTCCACTATCGACCCCCCCCTGCTGTCGACCCCCCCCTGCTGTCGCACGCACGTGTTGGTGGAGCCTCTGTTGAGGAGACAGAGGTCCACCGAGGCCGCCCACTCCTCTACGGCCTCGCCCCTTGCGTCCGTCCTGGGGGAACCCCACGCAATGGACTTTGCGTTGAAGTCCCCCAGCACAAGGACGTGCCCAGACGCTAGTCGCCGTATCGAGGTCTCCAAGCTGGTTAGGAAAACCTCGAAGTCGTTCAAACTCCGGTTGGGGGAGAAATAGACACCATATATGGTGATCCCCCCCCACTCGACGGCAACATATCCAGTGCCCTTGTCTCTTAGCGACAAGGGCGGGGAATGAGCCGTCGTGGAACCGACGACTGCCACGGAGAAAGCCTATACCAACCCGTCTGGCCAGCATGGTATAGTAGGCCAAAACCACCTTTCTAAGGAGAGGCTTATGTCCAGTAGTAGACTGTTATAGGCTGTTGATGCTGATTTTAGGCGTAATAGTATTTACACCTTATGCACACGAATTAAGTAGTATTTATTTTTAAATTAATTAGTATAATGTAATAGAATATTATATAATAGAAGCCCAAAATCGATCTAAGTGGCGTGCAATGGGAGAGGCCTATGTCCAGCAGTGGACTGCGATAGGCTGATGATGATGATGATAATATAATAATAATTTGAAAATATTGTCTAGATATCAGCACTTATGGCACATATGACCGGCCTGTTGGTCTAGTGCTTAGTTAGTGACCCTGACACCTAATCCAAGCCAGAGGTAGTGGCTTCGATTCCCATCCAGGACAAATATTTGTATGATTGTGTCTGAGTTTAATTCATCTATATTATGTATGTTTTCAGAAATATATAAATATGTTTATCAGCGGTCTGGTTATTACCATATTCCGGGATCTGCCTAGTTTGGAATCAGATGGCCGTTATTAGCATCTATCACATCATTGTCTCAAACACGATTAAAATGAGATTTAAAATATCCATAAAGCTCATAAAACACGCACCTGACGCAAGTGTACCAAATAGAAAAGCTCCTCTTCCTAAGCACAAACACTTTTACAGACAATTTTTTTTTTTTCACGAACTTGCCAATCACAAACTTGAAAAACGTCTCAAATTCTTAAAATTTATTCTACACTTTTCAAATCATTCAAACAATTTAGAAAGTGAAAAGGGAATTATTTATTCTTCGCAAAGGGAATTATTTATTTGCCATTTTTAGGCAACTTAATTTTTTTTAAGTTAATGGCCACGGCAAATAACCAAACAATTTTGCCGAAAACCATTCAACTTCTAAGTTGCAATAACGAAAAAATAAGTATATTAATATTACTAGAAAATTATTAAAACAACTGCTGATTATCAGTCTGATATAATATAGCAGCTTTTAATGTGATTTATTGATCATTTTAATTTGACTATCTTTCATCAATATAGATAAGTAACGTCGATAAGGTTTCAAACTGAGTAATTGTTTATAAACTACGAAATTCATTTTAGGGTGTAGTGCAGTTTGTTATATATCACTTATTTCATAATAAGATCAGCAGGCCCCTCTCTCCCACTGGGCACTCTGGGCACGTGCCCAGAGCCCCTCGATCGATAGGGGCCCGACCCTGCCAGATCACCAATCGAAAATCAATATTTATCACCGAAGAACATAATTATTTCCAAAAATCCATTTGTAAAGACTGACTACAATACTTTTTTGGTCTATTCTCACAAAATAGTGCTCAGCTCAGTTCATATGCTAATTTGCCCAGGGCCTCCAACAGGCTAGAGACGGGCCTGAAGATAGGTAGGTAGGTATTTATAACGATCAAATATGATTTGAGCAATTTACTGTCCGTACAATATTTTTTTATATACCACATGTGAACAAAGAGGTGGTAATCAATAATTATGTGAATCTTTAAATTAAAGTTGCGTATTTAAACTGGCATGAAAATAAAATTCAGTCAGCAACACGTAATATAACTTAAAATTGAAAAAAAAAAAACGTTTAGCGTATTCTAAGTTCATGTACCGCTCGAACCCAGCTATTAACTTGACTATTAAATCATATGTCGTATAATATACATTTCATAATGTCAATATAAAAAGCCAACGGCGGGTTGTCAGCGCGCTTGCCGCCATCTTACAACTTCGAGTTGTTAGGCTGTGCCGTTACGGTGCCGTGGCCTTAAGTCTGCAGGAATTCTCAGTGGCTTCCTTATTAGGGTACCCCGGTTCTCCTGAAATATGCTCACTTGTGACGGAACACCGTGTGATTTTAGTCGATTCGACTCCGACATACATTTTTCGAACCGAGAACTTTTCGAGCATTTCATTCTTCTAACTTATAAAAATCGGCAAACAAACGAATCGCATTTATGACTTTCGGTAAAATAAATTTCGTGAATTTTAATAGTAGAAATTATAATTCTTGGGTATTATGAAATTCAGACTTTTGAAAATCGGAACATCGTAATTCGGAATAAAATATTTCGGAGTGTTGGGGTGTTCCCCTGTATACTGCCACACCTTATCGATATTATCTATGAAGCACCTACCTAACCACATTTAATCAATCATCTATATAAATGCATTATAACGTATTAAATTAGTAACTATCTGTTCAGTGAATTTTTATGAGGACTGGTCCAAACTTTAAATATGAGTGACATAAAAGTAAACTTACAATTTCTTGACGTTGCTTTACTATTTACATTATTTAGAAGTTTAGAACAATTAATAGTAAATAAGTAGTACATCAATAGTCAAGGAATGATTAAATAATGTCGAAAGCACGATATTACTAAAAATATAAAATTGATAGTTGTAAAGAAGTCTTGTGCATTTAATGAAAACTAACAATATTGTGAAAGGCGATGATTCAGTGATGTAATTGGTAAGCAAAGTAAAATATATCAAAACTTAACTTGAACTAAGTTTACGATTACGAAAATATACAAATCTAGAGTTTTCACGTTTATTAATATTCAATATACACATTGATTAAACATTAATTGCATGTAATCTGGATACATTAGATATCAATGTATAAATTAACGATTTCGATTGACAGTTAGTTCGATAAGATACAGGTTTGAATCGCTTTCAATCACAGTTTAAATTGCCGTTCAGCCAATAGAACTTTAACCTTAAGGCAAGACACAGCAAAAGACAATAAAACTTTGGAAATGAATGCACAAGAAATTTAAGGGATATTAAAGAGAATCTGTTATATGTAAGTTACTTCGCTTTGTTTACCTATTTATTGATTTGCCCAGGGATCCTAATAAAATACAGGAGTTTACAGCCCGGTGTTCAGTTCTATTCAGACATACCGCGACTTGAAAACAACAATTTGTTGCCATTTTATCTTGAACTTGCAAAAGAATCAATTTATTAAAAAATATGTTTTATTATCGTCATTAAAATAATTATCCAATTAGATAATCTTCTTGATATGTGTATATGATTCATATCCATGTATTTTGACAGGCGCTAGAGCTCTCGGCGCCCATTTAACTGTTAAGAACTTTTTAAAATAAACTACAAAACAAGTCGGCTCAGATAAATGTATATTCACATTTCTAACATTTGCTAACATTTCAGCACTGATGATATTTACTTTGATATTACGTCTTTAGTTTATAATATCTAGTTTAAACTGCTGTTGGTCTGTCATAAGGGTATCTTTCATTGAATTATCAACATTTGTTGGATTCGAATAAAAAAACTGTAAATAGTATTCACATTCACGGTCAAGGTACCTCCTTCGGTGTATCCATATAGAAAAAAAGGCTTAAAATTTTACTAACCCTATAATTCTGTTCGGCGATCTCTTTAGCTCTGGAGTTGCCTTGGTGATGCAGTCGCAGTTCCTCCTGGTTTCTCAATCTTAATGCCTCCGTGATAGCCCGCGTTTCTTGTTTCAATCGTTTTACGCGACGTATAGCTATCAATCGACGAACGTGTGCTTGAATCTTGACGATGGCCCACATCTTATGACCATAGGAACGACGCACTAAGTAACCGCGAGCGGCTGCCTGAGGATGTAATTCAAATATTATAATAATAGTTGACATTATTTTTTGTTCTTTATGCCTTACAGTCACCAAATCAATTGGTAAACTGACTAATGGTTTTGACTTTAAGCATATTTGATTATGCATGCCGCATAGTTTACAAATGATGGTTAATTAACTGACTATTATTAGTTATGCAATTGCCCAGAATTGCTTCAACTTCATAAAAAAGGAATTATATTTAAAACTAGCTGAGACCCGCGGTGTTACCCGCGTTTGTTGTTATAACCGCGGGCAACGCCGCGGGGCGAAGCTAGTCTAAAAAAAGTAGCCTAAGTTACTCCTTATGTCATCAGCTATCTGTCAGTGAAAGTACCGTCGAAATTGCTTTAGCCGTTCCAGAGATTACCCGGAACAAACAGACAGACAAAAATTGAAAAAAATGTTATTTTGGCATATGTACCGTGTAAACATACATATGCATTTAGTAAAAAGCGGTTATTTCAATTTTACAAACAGACACTCCAATTTTATTTATTTGTATAGATAATACTAACAACCTGTTACGAATATGCTTGTGAACCCCATTTGTGTTTGAACTTCACACCGTTAGTACTAACTATGGTTTTAACAATTACATCGTATTATATCGTAAATGTATTTAATTATTTAAAGTAATAAGTCAGATTGTGAAATAAAGATAAGCAAAGATAACTTTAATCTGTTTATTGACAGTCTATGTTGTTGAGTTATGTCATTAGACACACAGACAAAACATTATAAAAATAAGGAAGCGAGGGTTTCACATCCAACGCGGATATGACTAAGGCTGATTTAACTAGTTAAAAAAGTAATCGTGTATAACAATGCTACTTTCAAACGGCCTAGTTTACTTATGAATATTTTTACTTATTGAATAATCTTTTTAATAGTAAACTTACCTGTAGAGACACGATATGTCCACGAAGATGCCTAAACCTGTGTGCTAAAACTCTTGCACGAATCAACGCTTGTAATCTTGCATATCCTACTCTCATCTTATTATACCTAATTCTCTGTAACTTCCCTCGCCAATGGCGCTGGATTAGAATAGCTGCTGCACGCATCTTCAAGAACCTCCTTCGATATACCCAACCTCTGATAGAGCGTTGCAGAATCAGTATCTTCCTTGTGAGAACTCTGTCTCGTTCTTGCTCAAGGAATAAGTCATGAGCATCCTTTAGAAAAACTTTGGTATGTCCTAACTGGTAATCAGATTTACCAAGAACTTGAGCACAGATTTTGGCAGTAGCATTACGGCAATCAGTCTTGTGAGCAGGAGGTACTCCAGAAATTAAGAATCTGTATCTCTCAACAAATTCTTTGAAGCTGTGTCTAATCGGGTATCCAGCTCTTCTAATTCTGATTGTCTCCATCATGCCAGAGTACCTAAGTTGCCTACAACAAAGTCCGCGGTCAAACATCATTGGTTTCTTGAATTCGTTTGGTTTTATACAACGTATGAAAAACGGCTGGCATGTTCCTAAGGTTCTCATCAGGAGGTCTAAAGACTTTTTGAACTGTGTCGAAAGTGTTGGAGTACGTTTCCGAGTTTCTGACCCCATAGCAATGTCTTCTTGGAAAATGTGCTGTAAAAATTTATTCGTTGAAATATGGATAAGTTGAAGTAAGTCAGCACTAAATGTATCTCGATTCTTTTCCAGGAACCCGCGAGTGTCGTAAAATACAATACCAGCAAAGTGGTTTAATCCAAAACTGGTATTTATGTCAGATTTTGGTTTGAGGTAGTTTCTGTGAAGACCATGAGTTTTGTGTAGTTTTGCTAACATAGTTTGGTCTGTGCCCTTAGGAAACTTAGACTCTTCATCTATCAGTGCCATAATGTTTAACTGTTTTAGTGCTATTAGATCTAAAGCGTCTTGGTTATCAACGAATTCAATGTGTTGCCAGTTGATACCCTCGTGGTTATATTCTTCTTGCTCCAATTTGAAAATATGTCTAACAAAAAATTGTTGTAGGTTTTCGTTTGCAAAATTTATACAGAATTGTTCGAAGCTGTTCTGATCAAAGTTTTCAAATCCAAATATATCAAGGACTCCAATGGCCGTTCGCATGGTAGACTTTGGTCTGTAAATTGCAGAGTTAATTTTGCGTACGATTGTGACGAATAATCTTCCGTAAATGCCTTTGACAAAAGCATCTCGGATATCGACGGATTGGTCTCTGCTTAAAGTAGAAATGACGGTTTCCCCATGAGCAAATAACGTTTTTCTGGTGAGTGCTCCTATGAGCGACTGCATAGGAACTCCGAGTAAAGTTGCAACTCTTCTAACATTAGCCTGTTCTATAATTTCTGTAGCGTCTAAGTTATCAACGACAGTTGCCTCGTATTTAATGTTTCCACAGTGTAGAACTGCAGCTAACAACTTCAATATTTCCCAAATTTCGGGCTCAGTGAATAGTAGTACTTTCATAGCTGATCGTATGTCTTGGAACTCAGCAGCATCGTCTCTACCTTCACAAGTCAAGCTTCCTCCCTGCAATGAAATACGTTAAAAATTATAACAACATTGTTAACAAACTGGCTTAACGGCCTAGTTATTCTCTCGATTCGAGTTTTTGTTTTATTTTCTTTACGATAAATTGAATGGTTCTTGATAGATTTGGGAACATTGTCAATCGTATTTTGTGGTAGCTATAGTAAATAAGATTTAGTTATTTATTATTAGCCATACTATAGATTATTATCCATATTTAGATGTTATGTATCCATCTTAAAAAACCCTAATTTAAAATACGTAAATAAATATACATTAAATTATATTCATAACACGTTGACATAAAGTAGGCCTGCACTATTAGTAATGGCTAATTACGTTTTTATAATTCACAGTCCTGGTTTTTTTAATACTTACATAATTGCAGTTAAAATTATGCTTCATTTTATATCTAAATTAATTTATAAACAAGATGCCCATAACATACCCCAGACAAATATCTGTAGTCCGAAGGTTCAGTCAGCTCTAACTTCTTCTTCTCCTCTTTGTTCAAACCTGCCAAAAGGCAATAGAACACGTGGTAGTTCCTCTCTTCAGCTCCCTGAGATACAATCCTTGATTTTTCTAGAAGATATTGCTCAATTTTGGCCCCTTCGATAACACCTCCATTGTTGAAGTGAATGTCGATGTATTTCCCAAAACGGGATGAATTGTCGTTCCTGACTGTTTTGGCATTTCCAAACGCTTCAAGGATGGGATTTGCCTCCAATATCTGAAAGAAAATATTTCAGTTATTTTACTTCAGTATAATTTTAGTAAATAAGCCTCTCCTTTCTAAGGAGAGGCTTATGTCCAGCAGTGGCTTAAAGGCTGTTGATGATGATGATGATGATAATTTTAGTTAATGCAGGGCAGGAACGCACTGCGATGTATCGGTGCTGTCATATACTTATTAAATGCTTGGTGCATTTATGCTCGACCGCACCGCAATGTTATAACGTGTTAATCTCTGGAAAAAACTGTCGAATCAGATTTTTTGTCCAATTTACATAATATATGATAGACAAATTGCATTAGGCTTGAACTGTGTGGAACCACAGAAATCAGAATAAGACCTTTAACATTTAACCCGGGTCCACAAAATTTAAAAGAAAACATATTCCCATTAATTAAATAGGATAGGTTGATTATAAAATTAATTGTAATGTAGTTAAAGCTATATGTTTTATAATCTTGTACAGAAGAAAATAACGCCCTCTCTACTTACATGCGACATAGATCTACGTATATCGGATTAATCAAAAAATTACCACCGAATCTTGGAATACCCGCACATTTTCCGTCCTTTTTCCATTGAGTACTTATAGTTTATGATCTTATTTCTAAAATATTAAATAAAAAAAAATATGTTTAAGATGAGTGCCGGTACATACTTGCTGTTCAATCCAGGAATGCTTTCCGCTAATAGCAGCTAAGTATTGAAGAATCAGTTTAGTGGATTCAGTCTTGCCCGCACCTGACTCCCCGCTGATAACAATGCACTGGTCCTGTTTGTATCGTCGCATATGCGCATACGCATTGTCTCCGATGGCGAAAATGTGCGGTGGCAGTTCGCCAATCTTCCGTTCTTTGTATAATTTGATCTGATCCGCCGTGTAGATTGGCAGTATCTGGTAAGGGTTCACCGCTACCAATATTGACCCGGTGTAAGTCTGCAATATTTATTAAATGAACTCATTTTCTTTCTTTTTCTGGTTTAAGGTAGATAGATGGTTGTTTTTAAGAGATGAAATGTATGTTTTATAAATGTATATTATATTTTAATTTCTTTGTATTTTGTTGTTGACACATTTGGATTATATTTACGCAGTCTTATAATTGTAGCTTTTAAGTCTTTTTTATTATTATTTATATTTGGGCTCTGCCTGAAAGTCCCTTTTACCGTAAGTATATTAGTGCCACGAGTTCATTAGGTTTTTTATTACACTTAAGTTTTCTCTACAGTATTACGTTTTTTTTGGCTTTACATATAAATTACTAAAGTAAATTTTACTATTAACAGTAAATACATGGCATGGTTTGTCTCAAAACTCATTTTGTGTTTTAGTGTTCAGAATAAAAGTAGAATCTGAATGAAAGAGTTATATAGCTATGATTATTAATCGTAACTGCTGAATAAGAACCACTTATGAAGAAATGTGTTGATAAGCACGATCATTTTTCGTGTGTCTGGGTGATCGTGAATTCATAGATCGTATTAAGTATTTAGAAATGTTTATGTACTCGTAGGTTTATCAATAGTCTGGTTACCATAGTACATGCTCTTCCTAGTTTGCGATCAGACGGCTACCGACCGTACGGGCATGAAATGAGAAGAAAAAAATATTAAAAGAAAAGAAGAAGTATTTTGTCTTATATTAAAGCGCACCATGTTTTTAGAGTAGAGAAATTAAGAGGTGGAGCTTGAGAACATAATAAATATCTTATTAAAGAAGAACTTTGTACAAAAAACATCGATACCTGATCTAATAATCTAATTGATTAGTAAATCGTTTATAGGAGGTAATTTTTTTGGGGTTGATTTTTTTGTATTAATTTAGTTAATCATTAATCTGTGAAACTGCTTTTACTCTCGCCAAAAATATTAAGATAATTATAATAGGTAGTTACTAAAAGGCGGTACCGGTAATTGAAATATATTGATATTATTTGCATAAGAATTTCAATAATAATTTAATAAAAAACTGGAAATACTAATATAAACCAATAGTTATACAACAACAAATCAAACATACTTTAACCAGTCAAACGTGAGATATCAGTTTTTTTATAATGAGTGATTAGGTAATCAAAATCTTCTTTTTCCAAATAAATTAAGATTTCTGATCTTTTAGTACATTGATTTGTCCTTGTCAAAACCGGATTTTTATTTAACAATTCAAATGACAGCAATAGGTGGACATTTTATTAACAAATTAACGATTCAACTATGGTACCGCAAATTACAGACTTTTTCTAGATATTTTAACACCTTAATGACAGTAAAATTGGTAATCTAGAAATCATTAAGTCTCAAAATAAATTTCTACAGTACTTATCTCACATAATGACATCATAGCGATCTTTATATTTTTTTCATGTAGCGCGAAATATACTTAAATTAGTTGCAACAAAGAAATTGCTATCAATTATTGTTTACTGTGAGGTTCTAATACTGTCTTTAATTTAATATGTAGGTGGAGTAAGAAAGGAAATAAGACCAAACAGATACCGCATAACCAACACCCAACCAACCTTTTTTACCGATGATACAATAAATGTTGTGAGCGGTGTTTAGGGTTTTTGTCAACTCGAAACGTTAAACAACACACGGAATGTGATAACACTACTCGTTTAAACAGCATATATCTATAATTATTGTTATTTCTAAGAACGTTTATAATACCCAATTTTATTTTAACATTCGCTGGGACTTTCATGATAAAATTCGGATCGAAAAAACTTCGTATACCATAGTATTCGAGATAGCTCTTGTCATTATCACGATGAAGGAGTAATTGGATTCATATCACCCTCGATGGGGAAGAAAGGAAAGGTGCTCACTCAGGACTCTGAAGCAAATGGCTTAACCAAGTAGTAATATTTCCCGTTCACCAAAACTACATTATAACAATGCTTTTGTCGAATGGATGATATCAATTTTAGCTATCATGATCTTGTTTAATTCTAAAATTAATAAAATAATTGTTACTTTAGTATTGAACGGAAATCAACAACAAACTTCAACTTTAGACGACAAGTGATACTGGATTTTGTTACATTAAGGAAATGGATAGCTTAAAATACATATAGTGTATTACACTATATATATCTGGTCATCAATATCACTTTAAGTAAAATTCTTAAATGATATTGATGACCAATATCACTTTAAGAAACAAGCTATTATAAAAATGCTAGCAAACAAAATACACTTACATAAATAAGATTCTCATTATATCTGATCAACAGATTCCTTAATATGCCAGCTTCATGAAGATCACCTAGCGAGATCATATCCTCGACTCCATGTACGGAGGTGGCGTGCATAGCCTTGATCCGTCGCTCCGGTGGCAGCCATTGCTCTTGTCCGTCGTCGTCGCGGACGCGTATGCGCCGGCCCTCGGCGGCCAGTACTCGTGCGCCGATCGCGACGTCGAACTCCCGCCCCGACACTGGCTCGATCCATATGTAATCGCCCTGGAAAATATAACAATATATTATAAATAAAAAAGCGTATGAGAAGATTTAAGCAGGGCAGAGACATCTGCAGATATTCTCACTACTCAACAAGATATTTAATTTTGAACCAAGAAACTTGTAGAAATAGCCATATAACTATCTAATTGCATAGTTAGGTCCTAATTTTTCTCTACAATTAATTCAACGGTAAAATCCACATACCCCTTAAGTTTTATGTAGTTAATATTTAGAATTATTCTAAAAAACATATTTTGTATCTGTAATCTCAGATGCCTTATTTAGAAGTATCATCTAACTTACAACGTCTAACTTATACAGATACTACAGAACGAATATCAAAAGCGGCATTGCTAGGCTCGTATCAAATATGGTTATGTAGAGGGGGCAACACAGCAGACAGTAGAGGTGAGCGCTGACGCGTCGCAAGGAGTACTCCCTAAACCTATTCCTGGGTCGCAATTCCCAGGCGCTGTCGAAGTCGCATGTGTTGCCCCCATCTATCACGCGATGGACCCGGCACCCGCATGGTGAATCCATGGAACGCTAAGAAATAGGTCTATGATGTATTTTGTGCATCTCTGGTGGCAGACATGTCATGTAGTTAGAACAATGGCCTAGAGAAAGTGATAGCAAGCTGTTAGATAAAGATATAGCAAGTCACTCCTTGTCTTGGCAGTCCTCGTGGGAAAGCTGGTTTTTTAACTTTATGAATTGATGCAACGATAACAATGGATACGAAACGAACATAAATGAATGGTCTGACCATTGATTGATGTTCACTTTACTAATTAGAACTCAACAAAACTTTATTGGCAGTATTCTGAGAACATCAACAGCCTTTAATAGTCCACTGCTGGACATAGACCTTTCCTTCGAAAGGAGGTTTTGGCCTACTATGCCACGACTGGTTTGGTCTAGGGTTTGTTTCAAGCTTTATTTTTCTTTGCAATGCTGTTGTCCTGTACTCCCTTAGTCTCTTACGCCAATCCCGGGATTAAAAGGGGTGGTGACACTCGGTATTCTTAATCCGTCACCACACGGACCAGTCTGAGAACGTTAGTTGGTAATAATAATATCGACGTAATTCATCTATTTCTATAGATTTTTCGAACTATTGCAGTTCTGTTTCCCCATCCAACATTTGCATTAACTTTTAGCTTCTTTGCTCTATACGTGTACATTACAACGAATTTACCTTCTGCCTTAAAACTTTGGTTTAGCGTCAACCAAGCCGCTCATAGAAGATACCATCTTGAACTCTTTACAACACATTGCGCGGACCCCTAACAGACTTGGTTGAATAAGCCGATGATGTAGTTAGTACTTTAGGTCATTGACCGAGTCTACTTTAAGACTATACTTTTCTATTAAATCTCATCCATAAATGTGAAAGTTAGAATTTACAAATGACATATAGACAAATTTCTATTCATCTCGGTCTATTGTGTACTGTTTAATATTTCTTTTATTATCATAGTTTTATTGATTAAGTATCTTAAGTATGTGTGCGTCTATAACATTAATGACAGCTACGAATAAAAAAGTTAACAACGATCTGTAGCCTCTTTTGATATGAAAAGAGAATGACGAATTGAAGAACAGTAACCGTTTAACAACAATTTAACGAATGGCGAGAAATAAGGTTTGAAATATTAATTGATCTATACTAGTACTAAAAATAAAATAAACGTGGCATTGGGAACCAACCAACTCTTGTCCGAATTGCAGAAAGTCGGATAAACTGTTTTAGACTCTGGTTGAAGACTGAAAAAAGTTAACTCCAACGGTGAGTTGTACATTAATTTTAATGTACAACTCACCGTTGGATTTAACTTAGTTGCCATTAACTAACTAAAGATGGTTGTATTGTACTTTATCAATTTGAACAGTGACTCAAGAAAGTAGATTTAGGCCCGTATTTTAAAACACGTCTCAAGTGTCGGTTGATCTCTGATTGCCTGAAACTAGTTTTAAGTGCAGATCAAATCTTAAGTATCGATCTTATTATAGAACGCGTTTTAAGTTTTACTCAGTTGAAACTAGTTTCAGGTATTGATTTGAACTTACAGTCTGTTCTCAATTACGTTTCCGCGTGATTGACACTATTATTCCACATTACGCAGCTAATTATTTAAAAAATAATTTTCTTTTACAAAAATAATTTCTGTGAATTTGTATATAATATACTATTGCCTAGTGTAGCAATGTTAACATATTAACAAGGTTGTTGTTCGTTCAAAATAAAGTATAATAAATATTAAAATAAAAATGACTAGCTGTATGAATAGGCTATAACGGAACGTTCAAGTTATTTATCAACACTTCTCATGTTGAAATGTCAAACGATGTTTTTATTTGATATTTCTAAAATTTAAATTACTATACTTTTAACATAAACCAAAAGGTTGTGGTAATTTAAACTGGTATTGTGAGAGTAAAATGTGAATTTTGGTGAATTTCATATCAATTAAGGTAAATGAAAGTGAAATTGATGATAGTATGCCAAGTAATTCTTTCGTAAATAAAGTAAAGTAAATCTTTCGTAATTATTCAAAAAGAAATCATCGTGAAACACATTCATTTCCCCTAAATGCCCTAGAAATCACCGCTTGAGACTAGTTTCAGCTTGTCTCACGTAAACAAAGATCACAGCTGTCAAAATCTATACCTGAGTAATGATTTCGACATAAACATCGTTCTAAAATAAGCTATCACTCACTTGAGTATGGATCGGTGAATCTCGTTTTAAGTGACGTTCAATAATAAAATCTCTACTTAAAATTAGTTTTAAGACTAGATTCACGACTGAGACACCTTTTAAAATACGGGCCTTAAACTTGTTCTACCTTAAATGAAATGAAACATAAAATAAACGCAAAACTTTATAAATACAATTAAACTAACAAAGTTCCAGTTTAAACTGTCTAAAAACAGATATTTTCGGGCCTTTTTGTACTTAAATGATAGTTGAAGTTTATTTATAGTGTAACTTATAGTAATAAAAATACCTGCGAATTTAGAATTAATGAGTGGATTGCGGTGCGTCGCGATTGAACAAAGATTGAGCTATTTATCTCTTTTACAAAACAAATAAAAAGGCGTCAATTACCTCAAAGTAAAATGTTTCCATAACGACACATCACAGTTGAAAATCAGCCGTATAAACAAATTTAAAGGAAGTAAGGTTAACTAAAGATGTACATGATCGATAAGTTTATCAGAAATACTGACCGCGGGACTGTCAGGTCGTTCATTACTGACCAATATATTCAGTTATCAATGTACATTCATTCAAATATAGATTGTGACGTTATTTTATTCTTTACTTACTATTCGTATAATTTGTAATAACTTTTCTATTACCGTAACTTATTACTTATACTTATGGTGACGGATTAAGAATACGGAATGTCAGCACCCTTATTCATCACGTGGGTAGAGAAGTAAAACTTGAAACAAACCCTATACCAACCCGTCTGGTAGTAGTAGTCTGCCAGCGCGGTTTGTAGGCCAATCTCCTTTCTAAAAAAATATGATAATTACACAACTAACGAAATAGTTTACAATCTGGTTGGATTTTGATGATCTCGACAAGGGTCAGTTTAAACTTCAAGTTGTCATGCAACTTTAGTGCAACGTCAGTTTTAGACGAGTTTGTTATATTTAAAGGTTAATCTGATCATTACCTACTCAGTAATAAATTTTGAAGAATCTAGTTTCATTGGTGTTCAAACAAAACTAACTTTTATATTGAAAGTTAAAGAACTCAAGATGCAAAAAGTGTTTTTGTCCTACGACATTTCTACAAATGACGCAATTTAATCAACGTGATGGATCTACATCTATTTAACGTTTGAATGTTTGTTCAGTTGTTACATAACCGAGTAAATGTACTGTTTATGCCAATGATAAGTGTCGTCAGCGGGTCGGGAACACAGTTACTGTCTACGTAAACTGTAAAATCTTATACTTAGAGCACAGATATAATTTATATAATATTATGTAGATAATTGTGTTATCTGTGTCTAGGTAAAGAAAAGGATAATGTGTTGCGAGGTACATCACTAGCTACTGGAAGTAATTTTAGTTATTAGGTTGTGTGATCCTGCACCGCGTAATTAATGTTTTTACACTGACAATAAAAGGCATAATCACTTCGCCTAGAGGATTCTCGCTTTGTGAGGAAGGAACATCAGACTAGACCTAGACGGTTTAGACGGAGCGTTTTCTAGAGATACGTAGTTTAAAACATTCTTACCGAAACAATGCAGAACAGACCCTTGACTGGACTACATTTATATGAATGCAGAATATAATTTTACTAAATCAACACTGGAATTATACACGTATTCACACGAGGATACATGTGTACAGCTCGGGTTATAGCTCTTTTATAGTTCTTTTATAACACAACAGCTGACGCTTATTGATTGTACATCTTCTATAACTTGAAATTTTTACCAATGTAATGTGCGTCCGATGCAAATTATAGACGGCATTCCTATTTTGGGCACTTTCTGTACCGGTTACAAATACTTTCTAAATAATGCTTTACCGCTTGTGTTTTTTATGATGCAGAAGCATCTAATATAAATTAGCAGAACACGTTTATAAAAAATAAATATTCATTTTGTCGCTATATACACCTAAAGGTTAAAGTTTAATTACATGCCTTTGATAATATTCCATAAAAAAACTTATAAACCTACGCACACTCGTCTGGAAAAGTCATATTGTAGGTTCTTGAGCGCATCATATCGCACGATGTTCTGTCATATATATAAATCTATTGCAAGGGACTCCATCTGCTAGGACGATTGGTACTGGTGAGCGATGAGCAGGACTCATCACTTTCACGCAAAATAAGGGAGTGAAGCTCCATTGGACCAAGCATAGCGCTACCCGGGCTTAGAGCGAGACACACTAATATGGCCAAGTTTAGTAATGTTTAGTTCATGTAGTGACAGATTAGAATACGAAGTGACAGCACCTCTAGTCATAGCGTAGCATAGAGCCAACCTAAGGAGCGCACTACGCAGGTGCAACAGCACTCCAAAGAGAAGGAAAACTTGAAACAAACCCTATACTAACACATCTGGCCAGCTTGGTATAGTAGACCAAAAACTTCTTTCTAAGGAGAGGCCTATGTCTAGCAGGGCTGTTGATGATGATATATGTTTAGTTTACTTCGTGTATCTTAAGTTACAATAAATCCTAAATAAGTTAACAATTAAAATAAAGTCTAGTAAAATATAGTTCTAGGAACGCACAGTTATAAAATAATTGTACACTAGATACTTAGTCAACTTTTATAACAGCCGTAGTAACTTTAAAAATATTTCTGACCGTTTTATCTGTTATTGTTATCTTGATCAAACTAGAAATGTCATAAGTATTTTGAATTTTCAATTCGAGTTTAGGAGGCTACCGGTTACGAAACTTCAATCCTAAAAAGTTCTGATTAGAAGATTAGACTTTTTAGTTCTCGTTCGCCCACTAAAATGGCCAAACCCCAAACAGGTTTGTTCGGTTCTACTGGAACTCCAATGGTTATTTGCGAAAGCAAAACAAAAGTATTTGGAATTAATTGCACAGTCATTGTGACATTAGGCCGTTACACAATGCAACTATTCAAAGAAGACAATAAATTCTTTAAGAAGGCAATAAAAGACATAAATAATATGCGTAGATGTATTGTACTTATGTGTTACAAGTACTTGTATTGTTGAGTATCGAGAATAGATAGAAAATAATGACCTCAGTATTTTTCATGATTCATCGCTTTCCTATTTAAATGATGTACTTAAAAATAGTAGTAATCACCTCAAAAACATTACTAAAAGGTGGGTAAAATTATACGATTATGAATATCTTTATTAAGGACTACAGTTTTTTAGGATTAACTCCATGTCTCATTACGAAACGAAATATAACCCATGTTTTTTTGTTATTGTTAGAATGGTTTAAACCTGTAGCAAGTATAAGCTATTTGCGCATGATGATAGCAGTATTAGATATAACAGAAAATTGTTTATGATTCGTTGCCAGTTAAAATATAGTGGATGCTCAAAGGATGTAACAACATTCTTATACTGGATAATAAACGTATGCCTTTTTTTATCGATTGACATCTTATTTTTTTAAATTATATTTTTATAATTAGTATTAAAAACTCCAAAATGATTCTCTTTTTTTATAAATCATAACCTCACTAACTTTTACTGAGATATTCAAACTAAGAACATGAAATAGTACCTACTGTAGTCCAGTGAATGATAAATTGAAGTTCATTATCTGGCAATTTGCGAAATTGTTGAAAATCCCATAATTTGTTTGATCATCAACATGTATGCTCTATTAAGTAGGTACCAAAAGATTCCAGCTTAACTTCCACTTATAGCGGTTTACGATTCATTATACGATTGCTTCCACTCTCGCTCTCATTTTGGCTATCGCGGCCAAAGACAAATTGCATACATAAACTACTACTGTCCACAACCACCTACACATAAAATGATTCAATCTTTATTGCTTTTGTTTGATAATCTGAATATGGTTCTGGTCTATAATAATGGTTAGCTTTCGTCATATTCTGAAGAATCTTTATAAGCATAGTGGGATGGATGCGAGAAGCCGAAAATCGATTTAAGTGGCGTGCAATGGGAGAGGCCTATGTCAAGCAGTAGACTGCGAAGGGCTGATGATGATAGTGAGATGTGCCCTAATCTTCCAAATACTACGTCGTTTCGGTTGGGTCTTGACCAAAACATTAAAAGGCTTTAAAACCTTATATTTTCTTGATTTTTTTAAAGAAATTTTATCAAGCATATTTTACAATTATCATAACGGACTTTACACAAGCAGACCATAACTTATATGTTATAATTAACGCGATACTAAACTAACAAATAATCTTTTAAAATTTCTTATCTCATGTGGGTATAAAGAATTACCAACTCTATCATAGATGTAAGGGACACAGATTGTTACGGAATATTTTAGCCATGATTTCCAGAAATTACATTATAATTAGATATAATCCTACTAATGGTATCTTTGTGTGTTATATACATGAATGTATTGGTCAGCGAGGTGAACGCCCTCAGAGTGCTGGATTCTGTGGCGGGCTGACGGAATGTGTTGCCAAACGCACTGATCGGAACTCGCTGAGAATGTACCGCTTTGGGAACAAGTAGGCAGCTCACACTGCGTCACCGGCAACCACAGACGATACACACCTTTTTTCATTCATATGCAGTAATTATAACTTTTGACAGCTAACCTCTTTATTTTATGAATGCTGTGTATGATGCTAGATTCAAAATTATCATATTAATACATGTTTTACACGACTTTTGTGATTTTAAAAACGTTTGTGTTAAGGGAACTGAAATTGTTCCTTTCGTCAGGTTTTCTAAACATTGATATGGCATGTGCAGTAATAGCTAAGCAAGTGAATCGTTTGGACATCAATTATTTACATGTAACCAATGAAAATTGAATGACTCGGCAGATTTTTTTTTTCTTGTGAATCGCATTCTTAACTTGAATAATAATTAAGTGTATATAGAATGGATAAGACAATCAATTATAAATATGAGCATCTTCGATAATTTATATGAATAGAGAAATTAAACCATTTATGAGTTACAGGTCAATTCTCCGGTATGTCAGGATAAGTATTGAGTAAGTTTAATAAGTTATACGAATAAACAAAACAAATCTTAATAATATCAACACACTTAGGGTAGACCAAAAATAAATACCTTTACCTACTAATAAAATAATATGCAAAAATGCTTTAAAATTTTAATCGAAGCAATTAAAATATTAAACAGAAATATTCGTAAAAAGCCCGGTTCTTTGCTTCCGCTTCAGACATGATAAGACGGAAGGCTTAAAGAGGTAGAATGGGTAAAGACTATAAATGACTAAAGACTTAAAATACTCTACTTCTATTTTATAGTCACTGCAACGAGCCCGATAATATTATTTCTGTATGATTATTCTACATTTCTAACGGCTTGGCTCAATGTTTTTGTTCTTTAGTCTCTTTATCAAACAGAAAATCGTATTTATGTAAAGCATAGGTACATATATGTACGTATACGTTTAGTAATACAAATAATT